TATTTTTTTAATTTGTGAATCTTCTTTTTTAATAAAGAATTAAAAAATATTCTTTTGTGCTATTTGTATTTTTCTGTATTTATGTATATATTTTTTTCTATATGTACATATGTAGGTTTATATGTATATATAAAAAACCTGTTTGATGCTGTATATGTGTGTTAGTCCAACCATTGTACAGCACTGCAGAATTTGTTGGCGCTTTACAAATAATAATAATATATGTGTGTTAGTGTATATATGTACAACCTGTTCCAAATTAGTATGCAAATTCTATTTAAGTGTCACAAAGATGAAATATTTTGTTTTTCAGTTTAACTCGTGGATGGCATTGTGTCTCAGGGCTCTTTTGATCACTGAAAACAATCTCGGACACCTGATAATTAGATTGCCAGGTGAGCCCAATTTAAGGAAAAACTACTAATACATATTATTAATTAGAGCACCATTTTCAGGCAATATGGGGAAGAAAAAGGAACTCTCTGCTGCCGAAAAGAATAAAATAGTTCAATGCCTTGGACGAGGTATGAAAACATTAGATATTTCATGAAAACGTAAGCGTGATCATCGCACTATTAAGAGATTTTTGGCTGATTCAGAGCACAGACGGGTTCGTGCAGATAAAGGCACATTGAGGAAGATTTCTGCCAGATCCATGCATCGGATCAAGAGAGCAGCTGCTAAAATACCATTATATAGCAGAAAACAGATATTTGAAGTTGCTGGTGCCTCTGGAGTACCACGGTCATCAAGGTGTAGAGTCCTCCAGAGTCTTGCAACTGTGCATAAACCTTCTATTTGGCCACCACTAACCAAAGCAGAAATGGCTGCATTGGGCAGAAAAATACATGAAGATAGCATTAATTTTTAAACAGTCCTGTTCACTGATGAGTGCCGTGCAACCCTGGATGGTCCAGATGGATGGAGTAGTGGATGGTTGGTGGACGGCCACCTTGTTCCAACAAGGCTGCGAAGTCAGCAAGGTGGTGGTGGAGTCATGTTTTGGGCCCGAATCATGGGAAGAGAGCTGGTCGGCCCCTTTAGGGTCCCCGAAGGTGTAAAGATGACCTCTGCAAAGTATGTGGAGTTTCAGACTGACCACTTTCTTCCCTGTTACTGAAGGAAGAACTATGCTTTCCGTAATAAATTCATCTTTATGCATGACAATGCACCATCTCATGCTGCAAAGAATACCTCTGCATCAATGGCTGCTATGGGGATAAAAGGAGAGAAAGTCATGGTGTGGCCTCCATCCTCCCCTGACCTCAATCCTATTGAGAACCTTTGGAGCATCCTCAAGCAAAAGATCTATGAGGGTGGGAGGCAGTTTACATACAAACAGCAGCTCTTTTGACATCTTGCATTTTGCAAACAAATTCAAGCAGAAACTGTCCAAAAACTCACAAGTTCAATGGATGCAAAACTTGTGAAGCTGCACATGTTAAAATGTTACGTGACCTGTTAAAATGTTTAAAAAGTTAAAATGTTGTTATAAGTTTGATTGAAATAGCATTTGATTTCAGTAAATATGCTGCAAACACAAGAAATGACAATTTTCAGTTCTTTACAACCTATAAAGTGTTTTGAAACTTACTGTGCGTAATAATTTAGAACAGTGCATTGTAAGTTTTTTTTTTTATGTTTAGAAAAAATACTGTTATCATTAGGTTTGTTCAATAAAATTTGAATTGCATTCTTAATAGTTGATAACATGAGAATTATGTTATTTACATCAGTTATTTATTATATATATATATAAACAAAGTAAAGACAGGAGCACTCTCTTGGTTTTCCAAGTGTATTCATACTTTGTTTGTATGCTCTGTAGATATTTGTTTAACATTGTATTAACGATCCACAGACTTCAGGTGGAAGGGGTTATATACATATATACACAGGATGTGAAAATTGCTGGTCTTCTAGACTTTGAAAGCCACTCCTGATGTGATAGCAAGCCACACCTTGCACAGTTGTCTACAAGATTTTATCATTGGTTTTGTAACAAAATCCTCCGTTACCTTGGTACTTGGAGAGGTTAACCTCCTTCCCAATGCCTATGGGCCCTGGCCTGGAATGGGGTTCTGTTTTGAGGAGGCAGATACAGGGGGCCATTTGGACTGCTTTCCCCTCTAGTTTGGGTTTTGGGTTTGCCATTGTTGCTAGGTAGGGCTACCCTCATTTTAAAAGCAGATTTATATTTTCAGGTTTGTGATGACTCTCCATTGCCCTCTGTTGGTGAAACAACCCAACATGCAGAGTGAAAACTCACCAGGAGAGAACACCATAAACCGGTCCTTAGAATTGCCATAATAAAGAATACACTTTAAGGAACATCAGAACAAGCCTAGATCAAGGGAAGCCAGGAATACATAAGTACGAGAAACAAAGCCGAGTCAAGGGAGCCAGAAAACAGAATAGTTGAGAGGAAACCGGGTCAAAACCAAATATATACCACAACGGATACAGGAACGCGCTTTAAGGACACTAGTGACACAAGGAATACTAGGAAGAACAACAGGGCACTGTGCTTTGGGCAGGCTGGGCTTTTATATGGCTGGGGGCGTGGTTAGCATAACCACGCCCCCCAAAGGTACGTGTGTGTGCTGAGCTCTTTTGCATAGAGTTCTTCCGTCGTCATGACGTCATAAAAAGGGTCGGGTGCACAGTGGCCGGCGTCCCTGAGGCTGAGTGGAACCTCAGGCTGCGTGGGAGCGACAGTCCACCGAATCCTGGCGTTGGCAGATCGCCAAGGTAAGTGTAAGAGGGTTGACACTTTGTTGGCATAATCACAATATAAAAACTAGGATATTCTAAAAACTGACAAGTTGCATCTAGATTTATCTATGTTTTCCCATAGTTTGGAAAGTTATAATTATATTATATATTGGAGGCATTATTATGTTGCTTGTTCTTCACATTATGTATGTTTATATATTATTGGTTTTCACTACATGCTTAAGGACTAGTCATCAAATCCTTGTTCGAAAATAAAGTATTGTATGCTAGGGTTAGGGACCAGGAACCAGACAGAGACAGAACTAGATGCAAAAACAATTTAAAACAGCAAAGAAACCCTGACAGCTAGATCCTTTTGGAACTGTGTGTCCTGTGTCTAATATGTCTTTATAAAGGCAGTAGCTGCTCACACTGCAAAGGTAGGGATACCTGCCTGGAAGCAGAACTTTAGAGGGAATAATACCTACCTGGAAGAAGAATGATGCAGCCTGGTCAGGTGGAAGAGCTCTCGAGAGACCCCACTCAAGCTTCAGTGGTTGGCGATAAGGTGTTCCAGGGTCCCTAAAAGTGACTGGGAAGCGGACTGGGCGGAGCTACTCGGTCAGAGTAAGGGGGCTCCGTCACAGGTTATTTGGAAAAAATATTGTTTATACTGTTGTGAAGGACATGGAAAGTGCTTCCCTTGTTTACTTTGAAATTATTAGTGTGGCAACACTTTTCCGTTCAAACTACTGCTGGCAATTAAGGCAGCTCATCAGTGTCAACAAAGGGGAATGACTCAGAGACTTTCACAAAGAGAGGCAGTACCCAGGGGCCACTTCACGACCATGAAGGCTAAAGGTAGAGCTGGAACGGTTGGGGAGGAGGTAAGTACCTGTTACAAACTGCCATTTGTAACTGTTATTTTATTTGACAAATTGCCCTGCTTCCCTGTGTTATGGAGAAGCCTAATTGCCAGCCTTCTGCCCCATGACTATGGACCTAGTGTGTATGGCGATTTGACTGTATTTGTGGGATCTGAGCACTGTTTGGATATATTGAGCCCTCAGATCCAAGCCATCTGGGGATAGGTTGAATGTGGGGGTTCTGTTCAGTTCAATAGGAGTTATGTATTTTTGTGTCTTTTTGTGTCTTTTGCTAACATGTGGTTAATGGAGTCTGCCTCTATCCCTGGGTAATTGGATTACTTTCCCCATTGTCCAGGATAGAGGCCTCTGTAAAACCGGTTTGGGCCAGAAAACCATGCTGCCAGCCAGGCCCCAAAAGACACTTTTGCTAACTTTTGAACCCCTTGTCTGATTTGTGCCATTTTTTAATATGTTGCTCCCCTGAATGGATTGATTCTAAATATGTAATTTTATGAAGATTGTATGTGTAGTTTGAAAGTTATAGTACATGTATAAAATCTGTATTTTTACTGCCTGTGTTTAATTATGTTAACCCATTGTGTGCCATAATTAGATCACAGGCAGAGGGGAGGATTTTTGTGTGTAATTGCTGGGAGTGTTTCTGTAATGTACGTTTATGATTGGTTATTCTGTAAACCCCTGTGGGTGATCCTATCTCAGGGAAACCTGCATAAAATAAGGCCCTTTGGTGCCAAGTAAACAGATCTTCTTGACCCTCAATACGTAGCCTTGTCTCGTTATTGGAGGGAACTGCTATATCACACTGGGGATTGCTATGCTCTGCATACTCCCCTGAGCTTTTAATCACTTAGCTCTTTTAAGAGCTGTTCCTGTTACGCTCTCCTGGAGGAGAGGTCTTCCCCACACGGTCCTGGAGGACAGAAGCTGATCCAGGGTGGAAGGAAGACGGCGAGACTCCAGTTAAGCTACGGCGGTTGTGGAGTCTGCGGTGGTTGTGGTGTCGGCTGCAGTGTTTGGAGTCCTCAGGAAGCGCTAGGAGCATCCATCAACGGAGGGTACTCGGTCGGAGTACAGGGAGCTCCGTTACAGTACCCATGAAAAAGAAAGAAAAAAAGTAAAAAGGATGAATCTTAATTTCAGCAGGTGAAAACAACATTTTTGCTAAGTACTCATGTATGTCAGTATTAATGATGTATGTCTGTGTCAGACAGTGTGTATATCTGTGTATGTGTTCTATGTATATTGGTATGTATGTGAATGCATATATGCATTGTGGAGGCTCAGAGTGTTCTGGTGGCAGCCCTGTAAACAACTACACATTTTGTCATATAATCCTTCAATATTCTGATCTGGATCAATAATATTCTCTATTAAAAATGAAAACACCACAAACTATGCAAATATCAAAAATATTTATTGATGTACAGCACATTTTTCATTTGTTGAATTTGAACACTATGCAAATCCTTAATTTCCATTCTGCACACTTTCATTTAAGTCTTACTTTGGTTTAGTGAAATCAATTAAACAAATACTCCCTTTTCACATAACCATTTCAAGTAATCTTAATTTATCTCCTATATATTCCTTCTTAATCGTTAGAATATCACATTGCTAGAACACTTATCATTCTCTAAAACTGTTTCTTCTTAAGAGTGATTATTTGTCAAAAAATGAATGAATGTCATCATCAGAGTCTGACCATGTATGGTTTTTAGATTTATTGTCGCTTTCACATGCCTCTTCACTTGAGTCTGAAGGAGAAGAAAAATAAGAAAATGCAGAAAATTGATAAAGACAAGACAGAATCTGAGAGCGAGCATGAGGACTTCCAGTGTTAGGCGACCAATATCTGGTTAGCCACCAGTAAGTTCCTTTTAGTGACTGTCTAATTAACAGCCACTAAGGGCAGTCTTAGTCCAACAATGTAATTATTGCAGTTTCTCTAAAACAGCAATGTTCAATGAGATGAAGTGGTCTGAGTGACTATAGAATCCCTTTAAGTATACCATCTTTAGCCCTAACCCAACACCAACTCTACATCTAACCCTATTCACTATAACACTTACTCTTACCATACAACTACTCTAACCTTACCCCTACATTATTCCTAATCCTAACACCCTAAAGCAGGCCTGTCCAACCTGCGGCCCCCCCGATGTTGCTGAACTACAACTCCCATGATTCTTTCAATTAAACAGATAGCCAGGGAATCATGGGAGTTGTAGTTCAGCAACATCTGGGGGGCCCACGTTGGACAGCCCTGCCCTAAAGCCTAACAGCATTAGCCCTTTCTCTACATTAACACAAATTAATGGTAACTGTAGACATAACTTTTTCTGCTGATGTGATAACTGACATCAACAGAGGGATTAACTAGCTCACAGCGTAAAGAGCACTCTGTAAGTATTTTCTACTGTTTTGATTATAGCATGAAGGGGAGATCTCCTTCTTATGATGCAGCTCTAGAAAGTGGTCCCTACTGATCACACAGTTATTAGTGCTGGACAGCTGGCAAAGTCCAGTGCTGATCACTATTGGCAGGGGCATGCAAAGTGACTCTATTAGTATGTCTTCAGCGGAGATGAGTTAAACAGATTTAAAGGGCTGTCTGCAGAATTCAGTTTGATAGAGGTGAGCCCCAGGTATTGATTAAAAGGACAATCTATGCCATCCCTCTGCGTTAAAGCCCATTTTTTTAGGGTGGCATGAAACATCTGAATCTTGTTAAGGGATTAAATCACTTTTTTTATTTTGCAGCCATAGCCATACTTCCCTAGGTTATGATTCACATAGCCTCCATGAAACAAATAATTTAACTTTTTATCAGATCTTACAACACAGTGTGTTTACTTTACAAGTTCTTAGCTCTGTTAATCGAACTTTAAATCATGCACATATGGTTGTTGCAAGCTCTAGCAAGCCAAACAGAGTAGGAGACAAGAAATTCCAAATGTAATACATTGTGCAAAAAGGGAAGGTAAAATATTTAGACTTTAGACGTTTATCAGGAAGTGTGTAGGGAGGTTGTGTGAGTCTCAGTCAGTAAAATTTGGTATCAGATAGGAAGTGTCCCATCAAAAGAAAAAAGGAAACATTGCTCTTTGATATAAAGCAAAGAAAAAAATGTATTATTTCATCAACAGCTGTACATTAATGAAACAACACAACCACATTTAAGAAGCTTTTTCTGTTGGCATAGCAACACGTCTAACCAGGAGCTCTTGTTGGCGGTATACAACATGTTACGGTACCCTCAGCATCAGATGCACAAACCACCGTTTAGTAAATCCTCCCCTCTCGCAGTAACATAGGCTGTATGCATATCAAGTACAATCATACGAACCGCAAGCAGGGGAACGCTGTAAACTCACGAACGGGATCCGTACGGGCACTTCACTTCACGAGCTCCAAACTCACGAACTGCCAATAGTAGCCGAACGCATATATCTCCCAAGCGGCTAATAATCCCATCCAGCAGTCTCTAGTCATCTGTAATAATTCCCCTCAATAACGAGACCAAGCTCCGCATTGAGGGTAAAACATGAACTGGCTTTACTGTGGGCTACCTGCCCGTATTTATGCAGGTCTCCCACTTGGTGGACACTCCCCTAGGGGACCAAATGGGAGACTGTAACAAGAGACAGACATATGGCAGGTTAGAACCCACAGACACAGAATATTCCCAGTATTTCCTCCCCTCTGCCCTGGAGATAATTGAGAAGTAATTTAATTATCTCCAGGACAGAGGCAATCGCCATTTTAAATTCAACACAGAAAAACATATAAAAATACATAACTTTACATTTGTCGAATGTTACCCATTCATATCACGTATCCCCAGATAGCCTGGATCTGAGTGCATATTATTGGCGAATAGCGCTCAGATCCCATACGCATAGTTCAATCGCCATGGAGTCAAAGTCTATTACAGTCTTTCGGTATGCGATTGACTCCATGGGAAGGCTATCTGGGGTAAGTCTATTCGTGCGTATAAAACTCTCGAACGGCCGGTGTTCGTATACTTACGTCGACCGAGAAGGGAGGTCGGCGGCTTCAGCGGTGTTCGGCAGAAAAAGTGTCCGTTTTTAGTTCTATGAAATCCATGCCGACACCGCTAGTCTTTCGCATGGTTTAAAATGGCCGCCGCCTCGTGGTCGACATACGAACGACGACCACCCTGTATTCAGTTTTAATTGAGAAGTGTCTGCGGTTAACCACAACGTTCTAATTGGGATCAAGAGGTTAACCAGCAGCACACTTCTCTTCTGGGTGGCCGTCCGTTCGGTAGTTTTGATCGGCGTAAAAGTCAATTCACTGAACAGGGGCATACAAACGGGTAATTCCACGAAAAGGCAAAAATAGACGAACCAGCAATCCCAGTCTATACAGATGGATCTGTGACACGGATCCCCCCTTGTGGAACACTCCGGCAGACCCGGCTTGACCCTGTGGTGGGTCAACGTGGGGATGACCGGACTAGGAGGAAATAGGGACGTCAGTTTGCCGGGACAATCCATCCGCATTCCCGTTCTGCTTACTGGGTCGGTAGCTGATGGTGAAGTTGTAAGGTTGTAACGCTAAACTCCACCTCAGCAGTCTACCAACTGTCTCCTGAGACCCGGTTAAGCCAGACAAGGGGATTGTGGTCCGTGATAAGCGAGAACTCCTGCCCGTACAAATAAGGGCTCAATTTCTTTAATGCCCAGACCAGGGCTAAACACTCCTTCTCCACTACCTTGGCTGGCTCTGGTCTCTGGCTCCCACATCCTACCCTGTGACCCAAGTACTGTACTTTTGCCATGCCTAAATAGCATTTGTCTGGCTTCAAGGTCAGGACAGCGGCCCGAATCTTGTCCAGAACCACCCCTACGTGTACCAGGTGTTCCTCCCAGGACTCACTGTAGACCGCAATGTCATCCAGGTATGCACATGCAAAGTCCTGTAAGCCATCGAGAAGCCTATCCACCATACACTGGAAGGTAGCCGGGGCATTCTTCATCCCAAATGGCATGACCTTAAACTGGTACAGACCAAATGGGGTGACGAATGCCGACTTAGGGATAGCATCCTTGGCCAGGGGGATCTGCCAATAACCCTTACACAGGTCTATGGTGGTCAGATAGCGCACCCTGGCAATGCGGTCTAATAACTCGTCTACCCGGGGCATCGGGTAGGTGTCAGTGGTGGTCCGTTCGTTGAGCCGCCTGTAGTCCACACAGAACCGGATGGTCCCATCTTTCTTAGGCACCAGGACTACAGGCGAGGCCCAAGGGCTGTCTGAGTGTTCGATGACTCCAAGCCGAGTCATCTCCTGTATCTCCTTCCGCATTCCTTCCCGGACTGCCTCAGGGATACGATAGAGGGGCTGTCGAAGGGGACTCTGTCCGGGTGTCTCTACCTTGTGTACAGCTAGAGTAGTGTAGCCGGGTTCTTGGGAGAACGTTGCCTGTTTCTCCCACAGAAGCTGTCTTGCCTGTACCTTCTCTGTGGGGCTTAACCGGTCCCCTAGCTGTACAAAACTAGTGAGATCAGTCTGGGGGTCCTTCTCTAATAGGTCGGGCAAGGGTAAATTCTCTGGGTCGTCGGCAGCCGGGGCACACACTGCAGCGACATCCTCTGGTCTCTCCTGATACTCCTTCAGCATATTCACATTAAAAGATCGCTGAATCCTTTCATCTGCACAGCTGGCTATAAGATAGGTAGTATCACACACCTGAGCTAACACTTTATACGGGCCCTGCCAAGATGCTTGCATCTTGTTCATCTTCACAGGTTTGAGCACTAGAACCTTTTGCCCAACCTGAAAGACCCGCTGTCGGGCACCCCGATCGTACCACCCCTTCTGTCTCCCCTGGGCCGCCTGGAGATTCTCCCTTACCATCAGGGATAGTTTCTCCATGCGGTCCCGGAGTTCCAGAACGTATGGCACGATGGGGGTTCCCTCTTGCTCTGTCTCTTCCTCCCAGTGTCCTCTAATGAGATCTAGAGGTCCGCGGACCCTTCTCCCATAGAGTAGCTCAAAGGTAGAGAACCCAGTAGATTCCTGGGGGAACCTCTCTGTATGCAAATGGCAGATGAGGCAGGAATCGCTCCCAGTCTCTGCAAGTGTCAGTAAAGGTCCTCAGCATCTGTTTTAGGGTGCCATTAAATCGCTCGCAGAGACCGTTAGTCTGTGGGTGATAAGGTGAGCTAAGCTGCGGATTAATGCCACACACCTTCCACAGCTGCTGGGTGAGCACAGCGGTAAACTGAGTTCCCTGGTCGGAGAGGATCTCCTGAGGGAACCTGACCCTAGTGAAAATTTTAACCAGGGCAACCATCTCTGCCTCTATATTAGACAGCGCTACTGCCTCAGGATAACGTGTGGCATAGTCCACCACGGTAAGAATATACTTCTTACGGGATGGGCTAGCCCTGGCCAGTGGACCCACAATGTCAACGGCTATGCGGGAAAAGGGTTCTCCAATGATAGGCATTGATATGAGCCTAGCCTTTGGGTGATCCCCCCGTTTACCTACCCATTGACATGTGTCACACGTTCTACAATACACCCACACATCTCAGTTGAAATTAGGCAAGAAGAAATTTTGGGTGATCCTATGAGCTGTGTGGCGGGAGCCTAGATGGCCCGCTAATGGCACATCATGCCCAATCCGCAGAATCTCCTGCCGATATTTCATAGACACCACCAGTTGCCGATTCTGCGGAGGGGTATTCGGTCTCTGGGACGGTTTAGGGATCCTGTACAGCCTATCCCCCACCCACTCGTAATGCTCCCCATCGACCCCCTCTCCCCCAGTATCTGCCCTGGCCCTATACTTCTCTAAGGTCGAGTCTTCCCGGGTTTCCCTC